GGCGATGGCGATGGCGGCCTCGCCCCGAGGACGCGTCCGTCGCGAGAAGGAGAGCAGCACTGACTCAGGCAGGCTCCGTCGCCGTCGCCGCCGCCGCCACCGCCGCCGCCTCCTACCTGCCGGCGTCCACCGCCAAATACGGCAAGGCCGCGGCGACGGCGTGGCGTGGCGAGGCGAGGCGAGGCGCTCGCTGGCTGTTCGTTCGCTCGCTGCGGCCGGACGCCGCCGCCGCTGCCGCCACCACAAAGCCGCGGTCGCTCGTTTCCGCTTCCGAGACCCTCTCTTGTTTTTACAGCGCCGTTTCGCACGGCAGTCGGCAGCGGCGTCTAACCTCAAGAGATGCCTCAACCGAAACCAAGGAATGCTGATTTTTGCTTATACTTCTTCCTCCGAGATATCGGCGAAACAATGAATTGTAGTTTTTAAACATTGGAGACTACTTAAAAGTATTGTTGGGAAAATTCAAGTTCAAGTTCGTGTTGCAAGTTTGATAGGAAAATATTTTATGTCCAGAAACATAAATTGAAGTTTGAAATAAAATGCTAGCAGTAAAGCGGTGTTGAAAAAAAAAAAATTTCATTTGCTTGAATAATTGCTCAGAGCTATACTATAATTGTTTGTTTTGTAGTATGTACTAGAAGATTATAAATGTAAAATATTTCTTTGAAAACTTGTCGTTACTGACAATATAATTGATATTATATTTATCATAGTTGATTGATCTGACAAATTTTTTTCAGTAAGTCCCTACAAGGTCGCTAATAACTAAAGAGATGTTGATGCGGCCATTATATTAAATTTTAAAAAAATCTTCACTTATTTAATGTTTTTGCGTCCTTCTAATAGTAAATTTTTGTTTTATTTTTATTCGTCAAATTTTAAAAAAATTCAAAAAATGTAAACCAATTGCAATCAAACCATGTGCTGATTCGTATTTCATTGGGTTTCAGCGCCGCACCTTTCACTCCTTCGTACAATAATTCTGAGCTTAATTAATGAAACTGACAATTGTACGTATAACTAATTAAACAGTCGTTAAATGCGTTCGTAGCCGGCAGGTGCGAATCCGATGAGTCAACGGCGCTGTGCGAAATTCAGGAAGATTCCGTCGGAAGCACACGCGCTCTCCGCGAAAGTTCAAGGCGAGGAGCGCTTGTAACGGCCCCAATCGGTTCACGGCTGCGGCTGCGGCTGCGGAGGTTGCGCTGCACGAGACCGTTGGCTCCGCACCGACGGGACAGTCGCCGCGCTGCCAGCGAAGCGCTGAAATGCGTGTGCCGGGGACAGTGAATGGACATCTGAAACTGCATGTTCCCTTCGAGGACTTTGCTTAAGATATCTAAATAAATATGTTAATACATTTTAAATATTTTTTTAAAAATATTTAAATTTATCTAAGAGTTTCAAAATATCTTAATATCGTAATTAATTAGATCTTAATATCGTAAGTTTCAAAAGATCTTAAAGATCGTAATTAATTGTAGAAATTATTTGCTTATAAAATAAGTGCTAATAGAGGTTTCGCGTACTTATGTATTAATTTTAACAAAAGTAGGGTACAGTTAATTTTTCTCCTGAAGGTATCGCATAATGACAGCATAAGAGATAGTATATTCTGTTTATCTTAATATTTTTCTTCAAACAATGTTGTAAGGAGGGTATCATTGAGATTTAACTAATAATTTCCTGTTGTTGGGTGTATAATACGGAGAAAAATAGGTCGTTTCCACGAAATTTCACTTTTGTAATCATGGAGCGGGAAGAAAAACGTAAAACTCAAATATTTCAAATTATTTCCTTTTGATTAATTGACAATACAATAGGAAATAGTAACGCATTTAACGAAAATGTAATTTTATACAACTTTCACTCTGACTGTAAATCTAAGGCTGGGGTTCTGTAAATGTAAGGGATGGGGTGAAAGGAGGTAAAGTTTGTCTAAACATGCAAGGCAATAAGGCAATTTCAAGGAAATAACTCGAAAACTATTTGTAATTGAAAAAAATTAATACAAATTAACTTCTAGGGATTTTTGTCAACTTCCACCGCATTTTCTACAAACAAGCAATATTTTTTTACTTCAGAACGGTTTTTGGAGAAGTTAGAATGTAAAGATCGTATTTTCTGTTTTTTGTTTATATTTCGAAAATGGCGCTTAGAAGCAGAACGTTACTATATTAAAAATAAAACCTGACAATGTTGTCTACGATATTGTTTCTATTCCTTTTTTATTCTCTCATTAACTTCTAACAGTCATCAAGGAACTGAATATAAGTGAAGGCTGATTGTATTCTATTACTGGAACATACATTGATCTTCAAATTATTTAAAATTTCCTACGATTTAATTTTTTACTGAAATATAAACATCTCAGAGAAGTTTAAGTTTTAGAATAACAAGGCAAAAATCAGGAAATGGTATCATATTTGCAGCTGTGTATTGAATATCTCAGGTGAACTTGACTTTCTCTACGCGTTGGGTATGAAGTACTCCCCACCTACGGCCTCGGCCTGGATTCGAATTCCAGACCTGTTGATGCGATGAAGGTCAATAATGAGAGATTCCGGAACTGCACAGCGAAAGTAATTTGAGAAGGAACCAATTGAAAGACAAAATTGTTATTTTTTTATAAATATCACATAATGTTCGTGAAATAAATAGAACGATTTTCATTTTACTATTAATTTAATTCATTAAATAAGACAAAAATTCTCTACATTTTCAAATTACAATTGAGGAGTGAGATGGCAAAAACTGATTAACAAATATTTTTACTGAATCTGAGATGTGCTGATAAATTTAAGAAAACTCCTCTAAAAATATACAAAACGAGGCTATAATAGAAAACACTGATGTTGACAGCTAAAATTAATGAAAAGCTTCTGCTTCAATTATGTACCTAGCTCACAAAAAAGCGAGGTACCTTATTTTAATCTTGCTGATTCGATTTATCGAATTTTGATGAAGCAGCTGTTGATAATGCTTTTGATTTTTCTTTTGACATTTTGTTTCAACTGATCAATTCATAATTTAAAATACAACAAGATATATTCTTTAAATAAAGAAGCATAAATGCTATTCTAAAAGCACACTTCCCTTTTCGCTCATTCGAATTGTGGATTAAATTATTCTTTTAATTTGAATTTCATTTAGATGTATAGTAGCTCTAACATTTTCATACAAGTTTTCAAAGAAACTATCTGGATAATATAGGTTGTATTCCTTGCATTTCCTTTCAGTATGTCCCTTGCAGTCCCTTTCCTTTTTGAGAGATTGTTTAATTTTTTATTTCACAAACACGCATTTAAGTCCATAGCAAACAACTGTGACTCCAAATAACAAATATGTCCGTGGCTGTTACAATAGTGCAGCTGACGTCAAAATAGTAAGTAGAGAGGTCTCTTTGGTTTTGTCTTTAGCGCATTAATATTAAGTAATTTTTTGTTTAGTTAACTAAATAATTCCATGAAATCCATTAATATCATGAAAAATCGTTGATTATCACTATATTTATGACATGTGTGCAATTAACATTTAATCATGCAATTAAAACACATTAGCCAATCAGAACTCGGAGAACATATCGAAATTTTTAATTACGTATCTATAACACAGACGTAGCCAAGGTATTTTCAGTCGGACATGATACATGAACAAAAATGTACATCACATTCCATGTACATCAAAAACATGTAATCAATGAACGATTGAAACAAAATTATAAACGAATAATTATTACTACTTCTTAGATAAACATGTTAATATTTGTAGTACAATACGTTAAATTAGAAACTATTACTCTACTCATACTTGGCATCAATCATCCTAACTCATAAGTTACTTTATATTGTACAAAGTTAACTTCACCTATTTGAACGTGACGACACAGAGAGAGCAGTTGTTTTGGCAAAAGTCCTTTATTTTTGGCAAAATCAAGTACATTGTTTATAATTTTAAATATCGATATTTTCCTTTAAACGCCACGTCTTCAACACAAACAAGTATGTTCAAAAACATGTTGATTTTACATTTGTGGACTAAAGGAACAACATAAAATATTTAATATGAATAACTGTGTTGCGTGTAAAACATTTAGTCTTAGCATATTATAAATATAAGAAATGTAATCGTCAGTACCCGCTCTGAAAAGTACACCAACAAAACGTCATAGTCAGATCTGAATCGTCTTTCTCCTTTCCAATATTAACACATTGTTCTCTCATACATGCTCTTACTTTTCGTACGAAGTAATGTTTTCATAACATTGTAAGCTTCTAATGTTTCAACCGCGATACGTAAAATATTTCTCATTTTCAAGCGTTTCTTATTTATTATTTCATATTTTTTTCTCTAAGGGTGATCATAAATATACACTGCAAGGCCTTCTAAAATAGGTCTTGTTCAGAAACTATACGGCGTTATTGTATACTTACATAAAATGGTAAAGATATGATTGAATTTATCAAAATTAAAACTATTCTTTAATGGAAACAAAAAAATATTGAACGTAACAGTTGGATAAACGGGTATTATTGCATTCACAGTAAATAAGAAAACGCTCAAACGTCATTTTCTTAAACACAGCTCCAAATTTTTTCTTCAAACTTTTCTAACGGATATTGCTAATTGCACTCTTTAATATAAAGTAAAGTTAATTTCGGGGTGTTTTTTTTCCAAATATTACACAAATGAATTTTTTATAGATCTCTCACGCCGTTAATATACACATATCCAGCAACTTGTAAACACTATTGTATGTATTTGTGAAGTTAAGTGCTTCAAATGAAATATTTCGAAAAGTCAAAAGAGTGAAAAAGAGCTTGAAATTTCGAATTTACAGTATCGCTTAAGCACCATTTTCTTAAAAAAACGGCTCCAAATTTTTCAAAGAAAATTATAATTTTGGAAGTGTTTTTCTGTTCTTTATTATACATAAAATAATATTCCTGTTATATTATTAGGAAACCGAAAAATGAAGAAAATTGAAAAAGATGTACTTTGGGCGGCGATATGGCAAGATGGCAGCTGACAAGAGTATGCGGCAAGTTTGTATAGCAAGCCGAGACCAAAGGAAGTAGAAAACTATCACAGGAAAGTCTGTGCAATTCTGTAGCGTCATTAGGTTCTTAATGAAATTGAAAATAATTTTGTTTCATGATACATAAATATTTTTCTCTCGACTTATACTACTGGATTTTTGTCAACTTTTATCAAAACATATTCACTATTTATTCAGCAGCTATTTAGAAGTCTGTTTAATAATTGATTATAATTTAGATAAATTGGACTGTTTACAGAAATGTACCTGAAGATGCGAAAAAGTCTTTTGCGAAACTTAGTGCACGTAACCATTTTAAGAAAATCCAAATATATTTTTTAATTAATATATTTCCGTTTTAATCTATACCAATGATTGTCTCAAATTAGAAGAATCAGAAAATACAATTGTTTTCGCTTATAAACGTTTTTTGTCTAGTTTTAATTAATTACTTAGTTACAAATTAGTTTATTTTAATTTGCTTGTTGTCTTCATGCATTGTTGATTTGTTTTTGTACTCTAGTGTTGATGAAGAAATGAAATATTTCGAAACGTTGGCATAACTAATTGCTTTTTATCCATAATGACGAATCCCTTGAACTAATTTTATAATATGAAAGCATTATAATTAAAAAAAACGTTTCTGGATTATTATAAATTATTATGATTATATTTTAAAATATTATGTTTATGATTATAGTGTACTCATATACCATTTGGTTTAGGGGAACTCTCTAGCATCTTATGCGGCGGGACCCTTTGCCCCCCAATAAAAGATCCGAATTCTCACCATGGTGTACATTAGACCCTCGATTACCTTCCACAAGGCGGTTGCAACGACTTCCTTGCTTAGATCATCCTTACTTTCGTAAATCGAAGTCTGTTTTGTCCATGTACAAGAT